CAAAGGGACTATCTCCACAGACCATATCATACTGCAAGATCCCAAGGGACCAGGTCGCTGCTGACTTGCCATGGTAGTGATGGTGGTGATTCCACTCTGGAGGACTATACATTCAGGTTTTATCGAGGTCCATGTAGACTGTGTCCTTGAGCAGCACCCCTGCTCTAAGTTGATGAGCTTGAGCTCACTGTGTCTGAAGTCGATGAGGATGTTCTCATCCTTGATGTTGCGGTGAAGCACCCCGCAGTTGTGGCAATGAATGCTGGACGGCCTCCAGCATCTGCCAGAAGCTGCAGGCCAGCTCCTCCTGCAGGGCCCCCTGCTCCATGATGATGTCAAAAAGGCCCTGCACAGGCTCTGACCTCTCCAGAATCAGGACAAAACTGTCAGGCCTCTCGAACCAATCCAGGAGCCTGTGATGCCCAAGAAGCCTGAGCTCACCTTCTTCAGCAAGAGTACTTCCATGGGGACTTGGGCGCCATTGGGCAGCTTTCCCCAGTCAGAAATCCGGTCCTCCTCCACATGCTTGATGGCCACCATTGTTGGAGACACAGATTACACAAGTGGAAGCTGCTGCTGCCCACCTGATACTGCTACTCTGGGGGTTCCTTATCCTTGCCCAGTGCCAGCTTGAGGCTTGCAGGGAGTGGGTAAGCAAGCTGATTTTGGAAAAGAGCATCTCAACCTCCAGGGCATCAGCGCAAGGCCCATGCCTGGAGAAGCCACAGCAAGAACTGGAGCTGGAGCTGGGGCTAGGCTTGCACTGGTGGCTGCGCCTACTGCTGGGGCTGTGGATGGAGCTGAAGGCTGAGGACCAGTTAGAAGACTACTGGGGGGTCAGGCTGCCCCGAAGACAGCAGGGTGGGCGTTGTGGAACAGGGGATTTGTGGAGGCCGCCCCTGGTCTTGCCCCTCAAACTATTCTTGGTCATGAAATTCCAGTGGAATTGATTGAAGATCATATCTTGGTTCCTGTAGACTTATTTCCATTTTCTTTGGCCTCAATTTAAACTTTCATATGAGTAATTGATGATCTGTCACACAGTCTGCCCCTGGCCTAGTTTTGACTGCTGATAATGAGCTTTTCCAATGATTTCTTCCACAAATGTAGTCAATCTGATTCCTATGCAGCCCATCGTGTGAAATCCACGTGTAAAGTCATCTTTTGTGTCTTTTAGAAAAAGTATTTGCAACTAATAAATCCTTGTAAGTACAAAATCCATTAATTCTATTTCCAGCCTCATTTCTATCACCAAACTCTTATTTTCCAACTTTCCAAAATTTGGTAAAAATTCTCAATTTCTTCCCCTTTCGCACTAGGTGTAGGAGCATGTACTTGAATAATAGTCATGCTAACCAGCCTTCCTTGTATGTGTATGGGTATTATCCTAATACTTACAACATTGTATTTCAGGATAGAACTTGGAATTTCTTTTTTTACTATGAATGTGCAACACCATTCTTCTCTTTTTCATTCCCTGCATAGTATATGATATGATTATCTGATTCAAAGTGGCCCTAGCTGGTCCATCACTTCTTACTAATGCCTACTATGTCAGTATTCACGAGTTCCATTTTATTTTTAACAATTTCTGGTTTCCAACATTCAAGCTGCAAACATTCCATGTACCAGTTGTTAAATAATGTTTGTTATGATATTGATTTTCCTCATTTCAACTGACTTCCAATCTGGGTTTTACCACCACACTACTATAACTGTCCTCTTTATTTAGTGTTCACTGGGTTTTCAAAAATCTTTTATTTAGTATGTAGATGCCCCATCCTGCTGTTGTTGTTGTTATACTGAAACCTTTTCCACTAGTGTGTCAAATTCCAAATTTTGCAGTCTGAAAATTGACCAAACATGTAATCAGGATGTGTTATATTTGGTGACTGGAATACAAAAGTAGGAAATAGTGAAGAAGGAACAGTAGTTGGAAAATATGAACTTGGCAATAGAAATGAGGCTGGAAATAGAAGCATAATTAGAAACACCCAATCAGTTTACCCTCAGCTTTCACGTAAATAAAAAACCCTTACCCACCAGTATCCAACTTTGCCAAGCTAAAGGCTGGACCAATAGGCAGTGTCTTGATGAGTGGAGAGGAGATTGAAACTGTCAGCAGCTTCATCTTGCTTGGATCCACAATTAACATCCTTGGTACGAGTAGTAAGGACATAAGGAGACTCATTGCACTGGGAAAATCTGCAATTAGGCACCATTCCAAATTATTGAGGAGTAGTGATGTCAGTTTGAGGACTAAGGTGCATCTGATTCAAGCTATAGTCTTTCTGATTGCTAGCTATGTATCTGAGACCTGGATAATGAGTAAGGATGGCAGAAAAATAATTAATGCCTTTGAGCTGTGGTATTGGAGAAGAGCACTGAACATCCCATGGACAGCCAAGAGAACAAATAATTATATCTTAGAGAGGGTGCAGCCAGAGTACCCTCTGGAGGAAGGAATGATGAGGCTTCACCTCACATACTTTGGACATATTGCTAGGAGGTGCTATTCCTTGGAGAAGGACACGATATTGGGAAAGGTGGAGGGTCAGTGAAAGAGAGGAATACCCTCAAGCAGGTGGTTTGACACAGTGACTGCTGCAGTGGGCAGGAAGTATGAGGATGGTACAAGACAGGACTGGGTTCAGACCATTTGTTATAGGGTCACTATGAGTTGTATTCAACTCGATGGCTCCTAACAGCAACAACAATAGCATTGTTTTGATGTTCAGATTACTCTGAATTCAGATTTTTAAAAATCTATGAGATTTGGCTCTTTTTGTTGTATTTCATTGGTGGTTTTGGTTTTTTTTTATAAAATTGAAAATAATTTATTGCTTTTTCTCCTAAAGTTTTGTGGATTTGCACAGACACAAAAGGACCAAATTTACAGATTGCTCAGTTTAGACTAAGATCAGTGGTGAGATTTTGTGCCTCCATAGCAGTTAGCAGCCAATGCACCAGAGTTTGCCAGCAGATGTGCCCTGCCCCTGTTGAAAACAAGTTCCGCCAAGTTTGTATTAACACCTCCAGAGATACTCTCCTTATTCCTTACATACCATCTTACTTGGGTCAACAAGTCACTGGAATGATAGAGTTTGATTTGGGTTTTTGTTTTGCCCTCCTGCTATAGAAATGAAAAGTTCATTTCTGGAAAAGAAATTGATTAATAAATTCATTTTGTTCTGCTTCTACCTGACACAATGCTTCATATTCAACCCAGTACCTTTCTAGTTGCATTTCTTTTCTGCTATGAGTGCTTGAAATTGCTGCTGTTGGGCTTCTATATGTTTTGCTATAGATTTGAGCATGTTCCAGGCACCAATGGCTACCCACAGAGTTCTTACATTTTACTTTGAGCTTTGTAGTCTGCTGGGTAACCTCTGGGTCCAGTACCCACGCTTGTTCAGCTCACTGAAGTGCAGTGCTACTTCACTGAGGCTGTCCCTGGACGTAGCTGCAGATTCCTACTGTGATCCAGGCTGAGGTCTGTGACAGCTTCACTTTCCAGACAGTGGTACTCAGACTTCCTGATTCTCAGATTTTGTCAGTTTTGAGGACCCACTCGGGGTCTGACAGCACAGTGTATTCCAGAATTACTTTTTATTTCCCTGCCTCAGCAGCTCCTCCAGGGAGTCTGACCCCTGTTAGTGAAGAAAGTAACACAGATAACAGCATTAGGGTGCTGCTGGGAATGCCACACTACTCCCTAGGGCCTTTTATTTTTTTAAATCAAGAAAGAATTATTTGACTTTTTTTTTATCCCTCAACAAATACAATATATTCTGCTGTACAATTTTTTTCTTTTTTTCTCTTTTTTCATTGTGGTAAATGTATATGTTAACACAGCATTTGCAGCTTCAACCTTCTGTGCATGTCAGTGGCATTCGCTGCACTCACCATGCTGTGCAACTGTCTCGGTTTCTAAATTTTTCTGTCACCGCAAACAGCAACTTAAGGAGCTCTGGTGGCCTAGTGGGTAAGGAATTTTATTGCCAATCTAAAGGCACGCAGTTTGAATCTACCATCTGCTCCTCGGGAAAAAGATATAGTCTTTTGCCATGGGATTGTCAGTTAGATTCGAGGGCACCTAATAACAAAGAGAAACTCATTGTCTCTGAAGGGCCTTCGCCTGCCTGTCCATCCCTGGTTATGGAAAGTTAAGTTCTGTAACAGGAGACACTCAGTAAAACAGTTCAGGGTTAATGCTAAGTGGGAGTCCCACTGCTGACTGCTGGTAACCTCTGATAGGTTTTACCAACACCTTTGCCGGCCTGACAGTGCTGAGTTTTTCCCTCCTTGTTTGTGTCTGAATACCTGGGAACTGCTTATGAGGAGGTTGGTGGTTAGAACCTACCCCACTCCCCAAACTGAGCTACCAAGGAAAGGCCTGGCACTAGTGTCCCCTACAATTTCCATCTGGAAAGCTGGGGGAGTAATTCAGCCTTATGCCACTGGGGGGCCGCTGTTGGTCATTATTAGCTGGGCAGCACTGACTGGTTTCCTCTTACACTGAAGCTGTCTCCTAGCATCATCTGTCTGTCTGTTACCTGGCGGAGCTGCATAATCGTCACACGTGGCAGATAATATTTATGTTTTTCCAGTTTTAGACTGTATACTACTATGTTTAAAATGTATTGTAATTATGTTCTGTATTATCACTTCTGTGAAATTAATTTCATAAGATATATATATGATTGTGTAATCAGATAAAAATACCCTGAAGAGTTGAGGTGGGGGAAAGGTAAAGAAAGATTGAGTGCTGTAACAGAAGATGTAAGTAAAGTTTAGAGTTCAAGGATAAGGCCATGAGAGAGCTGTGCTCGCTAACTGCTCTCCCCCCCTGGGAAGTTTGTCTCCTGTGGGGAGCTCCTAGTCACCCTTCCAGAACACAAGGGGACATACCTGCATGCCTGCATCCCGCTTGCTGGTGCGACCATTCACATGGGAGTCATGCCCATTCAAACTGCCCTCTCCTTCTGTGTCCCACCCAGGTACTCAGACCCCACCATGTGGACCGCTTACCTGGGCCTGCATGACCAGAGGAAGCGCAGTGAGCCAGGGGTGCAGGAGCACAAGCTGAAGCGCATCATCCGCCACCCTGACTTCAATGACTTCACCTATGACTATGACCTGGCGGTGCTGGAATTAGAAAAGCCAGCTGAGTACAGCAACGTGGTGCGGCCCATCTGCCTGCCAGATGCTACACATGTCTTCCCGGCGGGCAAGGCCATCTGGGTCACGGGCTGGGGACACACAGAGGAGGGAGGTGAGTGCCCAGTGCAGGCCCCCAGTGCAGCCCTGTGATTCCCCGTTCCTTGGGCATGCAGCCCCTTTGCCCAGAGAGCTCCCCCTCATTGCAGTGGTGTTCATTGCTGCTTCATTCCCTCCTGTCAAGGTGAGGCTATCCCAGAGCCATGTGGGGAAGGATGGTGGGGTTCAGGCTTGTTTTGTGCTTTAATGAGCGATGCAGGGCAGGTGTTTCTTGCCTATTTTCAGTCCATTACAGATAAAGACGCCAGCACCTACACAGAGTGCTGCATAGGTAAAAGGAAACAGTGTGCAAAGTCTGGGGAGCCCAGCCCCTTCTACCCCTGATGGGAGGCAGGCTAATTGGTGTTTGTTATACTCTATTTAACACTTCAGTTATAAAGTTAACACATTTGATTGGAAATTTAAGAATGGAGGGAGAGAAGGAAAAGAACATTTTTTAGGAGCCCTGAGGACCCAGTAATTAAGGGCTCAATTGTTGACCAAAAGTTTCTAAACCAGCAGCTGCTCCTGGAGACAGAATTGGGAGTCTGCTCCATGGAGATTACAGCCTTGGGACCCTTACCCAGCATCCTGCTCTGTGGGGCCGCTAAGCTCTGCCCTACCTGGTTTCTAGGAGCGGAGGCCTCTGGGGGCAGTGGGTGAGGTTCTGGGTGACCACTGTGGGCATTCTGTGGTCTTTTCTTACAGCCTCTATTTCTTCTTCCCTCCCCTTGATATGTGCTGAAGGATGATAGTCACCACATGAGGGGCTGTGTCCTTAACTATGTAACCCCTCTTGGTGTGGGGCATGGGTGTCTTGTGTGACTTCCTCCACAGCAGTGCTTCCCGGCGGCCCCGTCACACCACCTACCTTCTCCTCAGGTACTGCGGCCCTGATCCTGCAGAAGGGCGAGATCCGTGTCATCAATCAGACCACCTGTGAGAGCCTGCTGCCCCAGCAGCTGACCTCCCGCATGATGTGCGTGGGCTTCCTCAGTGGAGGCGTGGACTCCTGCCAGGTGAGTGGCCTCCGCAGTGGGGGTGGGGAGTGGGAGCAGGATGGCTGGGATGTGTGGTCTCCATTTGTGGGAGGACAAGGAGTCTCACAAGGTGGGAACATGGCCAGCATAGGGCTTGGTGTCCTGTGGGGAAAGTCCGGTTGATGGGTGGGGGAGAGGGCAAGAAGGGCCCTCATACAGGACAGTTGTCCCCTCAGGGTGATTCTGGCGGCCCACTGTCCAGTGTGGAAGCTGATGGACGGATCTTCCAGGCCGGAGTGGTGAGCTGGGGTGAAGGCTGTGCGAGGAGGGAGAAGCCTGGTGTGTACACAAAGCTCTCTGAATTTCGGGACTGGATCAAAGAGCAGACTGGGGTGTAGGCCATGGAAACCCCAGCATGCACACCTACAAACTGAGGACAGTGGCTGGACTACATCCCTGTGGGACCTCCAAAGCCCAGAATCTCTGAGACTCAGATGGAGAACCCCCCAGAGAGCCTCTGCTCCCATTGCCCCCCCAAGTGGGGCTGAGGGCAGAGGAGAGCACCTGGCAGTGGTTGGAGACCTGGCTCATGTCTGCCCACAGCATTTTCCAGACCCTCTGCTACCCAGTCTGCGTGGGGCCCAGGGCTTTGACCTGGAGCTTGGGTCTCACTCCACAGAAGCCCCTGACCGAGGACCCTGGAAGCAAGCACTAATATTTGGGTGGGCCCAGGGTATACAGCTATGTTTTTAAGTAAAACATTTTATTTCTTTTTAGGTTAGCTGAGTTTTGGGGTTTTTTTTCTACTGGAATTGTTAGACTCTCCTCCCCGAGCCATGAAACCACTGTGTTGTCAAGTGTAGCTTACAGTGGCCCTCCTTTGGGTTTCTGAAGCTGTAAAAATTTAGGGGATGAAAATACCCATCCTTCTTCCACAGTGTAGCTGTTGGGTTTGAGCCATGGACTGGGAGTGGCCACTCTGCTGACTGCTCATTCCCTAGCCCCCCAGAGTCACCTGCCCACTCTTATCTGAGACACAAGGGGGAACAGGGAGCTGCTGCGCAGGCCAGGCCTGGACGGAAGAGCAGCTTGGTCACAAGGGGGAGAGTGGGAGCTCCATCGCAACCCCTTTCCTAGTCAGTTCTTCACTCACCAGTGTGCTCAAACCTGTTGGCCTGTGGACATTGATACTGGAGGGAGCTACATTCCCAGGTCTGGGGAGAGAGAAGAGAGGTGGGAACCAAGTCCGGGCCAGGAAGGCAGAGGCCTGAGCTGGCTGCATGGGCCATCGGTATGGAAGTTGTGTTTGTTCACACTGCACAGATGCTCATCCTCGAGGACACCAGCATGCCCTGTCTAGGAACAGCTAAGGCCAGAAGAATAGCTGAGTGCCTCCGCCTTCTTTGCAGGGTCAACCACTGCAAATATGTGTGGCGGGCAGGGGTGGGGGGGCAGGGAACCAATGATTATGAGAGAAACTCTAGGTAGGTCTGGCATATCTAATTGGGAGACCTGCTGAGTGTTCCGCATGCCTCATTCAAACCTCACTTCAACCATCTTTATAGAGAGTAAAAAAAACACTTAAAGAGCTTGAATGACTTAGGAAGCATGCATGGCAGCAGGCTGCGCTTAGGCCTTGTTCTGCCTGCCCGAGTACTCCTTCTTGGGAACCCCGACAAACCTCCCAGAAAACGAAAGTGTGATATGACTGAGATCGCTTCCTGCAAAGGCCTGTTTTCCAGTGTGGACAAACAGCATTTGCTCCATTTTTCCAGATTTGGTGAGAGTAGGGTTTCTCCACTCCTTAGGTCTCTGAAGCCACATAGTCAGAGGGAGGGCGATTTCCATCCACCCTGGTGGGCTCATGGCAGAATTCTCACCTGAGCAGTTTGCAGTGACAATTCTGGAGAAAGATGGACTAGGACGAAAGGCCTGGCTCTCTACAGAAGCACATAATTAGCTAATGAAAGCCCTATGGTTACAGTGTTCTGAGGTGCAGCTGATTTTGGGGTAGCCATCAGACCAGGCAGTGCTGTGTTGCATTGTGCATGGGGTCGAGTTGTGCTGACTAGATGGCAACTGACAACTTCTGAACTTGCAGTTAAGTTGACCTGTTGCACAATGTGGGCAACGGTGTGGGGAGATGGGAACTCTCTTACACTACTGGTGTATGAGAGGTGTGCAAAACGGTGCGACCTCTATAGAAAACACTTCTTGAGAAAGCTGAGACTAGGAGTATCACTTGATTCCTTGTTCCTACTAGATATGTATCCCAGAGAAATAAAAACTGCAGCACGAACTGACATACACACATTCACATTTATCAGAGTTATTTACAACAGCAAAGAGTTGGACACAACCCAAGTGTCGATCAGTGGGTGAATGAATGGCAGAGGAAACTGAGTTAGTTCAACCAGTGGGCTGTGCATCTCTAAAGAGTAATCAGGAATTTGTGAAATACTGCACAATGTGGATGAAACTAGGACAAGTTATGCTGAAACCAGACAAGTCAATATAAATTGGTCACAAAAAGACAATTATGGTATAAGGTCACTAATATAACAAACTAAGAAAAGGTTTACATACATTTAAAATCAATCTTGGAAGATTAACAGGGAAAACAAAAGGAGAGTGAAAACAATAGAAAAGTGAGTGAAGGGAAAAGAGTTTGATTAGACATTGTCATAAATCAATTGCATTACTCAATTGTAGTTAATGTTATAAACACAAAATGTCTCTGAATGATTGGCTTTACAACCAGAATAATTTGTAAACTTTCAAATAAAAATTTTGGCTTGTTGGAGAAGGAGCCCTGGTGATGTAACTGTTAAAGCACTCAGCTTCTAATAAAATGTCCATGTTTCAAACCCACCAGCTGGTCTCAAGGAGGAAGCCTTGTCAGTCTCCTCCCGTAGAGATCAACTCCTGGAAGCTCTGTCCTGTAGGGTTCTTGTGTGTTGGAATCCACCTGCAGCAATGATGGATTTCTCTTTGTGGAAAAGGGGTGGGAATCCCAGGATAGACTCCTTCCAAAGTGACCATCATGGGCCGAGCTTGGGGACTCACTGAATGAGGTTGAATGGCCAGCAGAAGGGTGAATGTTTATCACCTGGATGAAGATGGTGCAGGCTGCCCAGCCATGAAGTGATCAGCACAGTACTGCCAGCTGTGAGGGGTGTGCTCAGGGTGGGCCTGGGGAGTGGGCCCCTGGCGGGACTGGCACATTGACAGTCAGGAGTGGGCAGTGTTTCTGCATCTGCCTCATCACCCACCTGCTGTCTGCTCCCTGCCCGGTGCACAAAAGGACAATTGGGACTCACCTTCACTCCTCAGCCACAGTGTGGTGGTGGTGGTGTTATGTGCTGTCCAGTCTCCTGCGACTCATAGCTACCCTATGTACAACAGCCTAAACCCTCCTCTATCCTGTGCCACCGTAGTTTTTAAAAATTTTTCATAAAAATATGTAGCAAAATATTTGCTGATTCACAAGTCTTTTCCTGTATAATCCAGTGCATTGGTTACATGCAAAGTACACAAGTCCTCACACTGCTGTTCCTGCTCCTCTGAGAGATTCCCTGCTGCTCCTGTCTCTTCTGCCTGTGCAAGTTTTGGTCTGTCTGTATTTGGCACACTAATTGCTTCTGTGGTCTGATATGCCTACCACAGAAGACACTGCAGTTTTAAAAACAGTATTTTAGCTAAAAGTTTACATGCTTGTGTTTATTATCTAGTGCAACTGCAACAAAAATGCCTCTGACACTTGATTCCCTCACAGCCTAGGAGTCTCGATCTCAGGGCAGTGGCTCTAGAGGAGAACTTTCTCTTGCTCATGAGGAAGGTCCTTGGCAAGCAGCCCTAGGGGATGGTGGTGTCTCAGCCTGCAAGTCCAGGTCCAAAGGACAAGCTCTGCTTCCAGCCCTTCTTAGTGGTAACAGAGTCCCTCTTTCTCTGCTTGCCTCCACCAGCTTTAACATACTGAAAAATAAAAGGAGGTATAGGCCACACACCAGGGAAACTCTCCTTACATCACATCAAGACTGACATGATTAAAGGTGTGGGCTCCCACCTGAACTCCTTTACAACTGATCACATCAAGGAACTGACTATATCATGTAACAGAACTATGGCCCAGGCATGTACTTGCTGGGGACAAGGTGATCACTGACAGCTCCCCAGTCAACGATTTCTGGTTATAATCTTCACAATGCCATTAAGTTCATGTCCCTGCATTCTAATCTCCTGCATTCTCATGTCTGTTTTAGAGTAATGGTTGACGGCTTTCATGTAAGTGGTATCTAAAAGAAATACAGTAAGGGTGATAGTCTTTCTGAACCAGTTTGGTTCTGACTTTGAAGAATATCTCAGAACGGTGATCCTGGGGAGTCCTCTAGTCTCAACATGCCCCGTGTGCCTGAATTTTTGAAGAGTTTGGTTCTTTTCCACAATTTTCTCCCATTCTAGTTGATCTTTCTGTTGCAGCCCTGATTAGAATGGGGATGGTGTTAGCAGGCACCATCAAATTCTTGGTGTTGCATTTTTATGAACTCCTGTGCCTGTGCAGTTTGTCCCCTTCTCCTAATGGCAGACACACACCCAGGCTCATCTCCTGTGCCTCAGCACCAGCCTGCATCTTCATTCTTGCCTTTTTCCTCACCTAGTGTTTCCTAAAGCCACAGTTCAGCATGTTTCCACACAGCAACGGGATTCATTCCATTGTTTGTTCCATGTTTCAGAATCTTCCAGCTGGAGGATGTGTTTTCCTGGAATGTGAGTGTAACTTTCCTTTTCTCCAGATGGCCAGTAACAGCCTCCTTTTCTCCTGCTGGAAGTCACCCCTGATTCCCTGCCCATACCTCCATGACAGGGTGGAACCCAGCCTGAATGCCATACTGCCTTTGGAACTTAGAAGAATTCAGCAAAGTCTTCATTTTAGCCTAGAATCTTTCCGCAGAGTGCTCCAAAGACACAGTGAATGGGTGCCCAGGGAGGTGCTGAAAGGGGCCAGTGCCAGTGGTGAGGGTCTGAGCAGATAGGCTACACCTGCTTGCACTCCCACTCTCTTCACACACAATCTACTTGGAGTACAGTGCTGACAATATACAGGGTGTCTGACACACATTTGAATATTTATTATTTTAATGCTTTCCAAATACCTAAAGAACAACAGGAAAAGGTATAGAAACAAATGGAAAAAGAAGTAAATATATTTTAAATGCAGCAGTTTTATTGCAAAAATGGGGTAGCAAAGCTGATTTAAATAAGCATCAGAGGGGAAGATGATGGAAGTGAACATTCACTAGTTTATAGTTTTGTCAGTGTGACTCTAGACTGGTTTTGGTTAGGGGCAGGGAACAGTAGACAATTAGAGACATGTTTGTGGGTAAGAACAAACTTAGGG